AGCTCCGCTCCAACAGTGAACCGTTACAATTATACACTTATTTTCTCATAGCTATGAGAAGCGTTAAACATGGATGCGCGTGCAGTTGCCGTACTGTATTAAAGCTTTAATCAGGATAAAACCGTATATTAAAAGCTAACATAAGCAGTAGCATTTACAAATAACAGCGTATCTAAAAGTATGAGACAAACAAGAAACATAGGCCTACCATTAAAAGCCATGCTTGCACAGGTTCTGCATGATCCTCTTCAATCATATCCTCTGCTTCTCAATCGGGCTCAAACTGATAAGCGATATTAACGAAGCAGTTGTTTACAATACAACCGGAGTACATGCCGCTGAGGTGAGGGGCGGGACGTTTAGACGCGTGCTAGAGGCCATTTAGCCAATCGCAACACACTGGGCTAGCTAACCAATCAGAGCCCATCGCCTATTTCTGAGGGAGGGTCTTCATAAAAGAATGAAATGATCGGCACGTTTCTCAGGAGAGAGACAGAGCGGTGTGGAATAAAGGTAAATTATGTGAAAAGTAATGCGTTTTTAAAAAAACGAAGCATTAACACATGTTAGACTGCACCCCATAAACACAATCAAGCCTAGAAAAAAAAACAGTGAACCACCCCTTTAAGCACAATTTCACTTGTTCAGTGCTATACTAAAAACACTTTTTATAGTTTAAGGAGTCTGCCTTGCGGAAGCAGTCACTGTATCTGAAGTTTGACCCACTGCTGAAGGAGAGTCCAAAGAAAACGGGAGTGGACAGTGGCTACTCTGGATTCAGCCTGCCACGGCCTTCTCTTGCCATCAGGTCAGTCGTCCTCACACATTCATATTAACAATGTTTCATAATCTTTTGCCCTCCTTTGAAATCTTGCTGAAAGTATTACAAATAGGCTTTAAATTGAGTTAAATGGCCCAATGCAACAGATCATATCTATATTGTGAGCAAAATCCAGAGTGCACAAGTTACAATGATCATGCAAACGGTTTTTTTGTGTGCATATTAGGATGATGGAGGCTGCAAAGTCTGAAGTACAGCAGAAGTCTTACAGTGACAGTATGAAGCTGCTGGATTATCTGCCTCCGCAAGTAAGATGATGACACAAACTTCAATGCTTTTTTCATCTTTAACATTCTGACTATATTAGTAGGCACTAAAACATTCAGACTTTTGCAAATTGGAGTCCATTTTACAATGTCTGTTAATCTCCAGGCAGTGGAAACTGTGGTGCCAGATCCAACTGTTCTGGACTTGCTGCTTCCCACTTTAAAACAGCCAGTGAAGACTGAGAACTCCATCATAGAGGTTCTGAAGTACAGTCAGAGAGACATGGATGCTGCATTACAGAAAGCAGAGAGACAGGTTACCTCTCATAGCCTCACGCAAGATGACTGGCACACGTCTGATTGGTCTTTCTAACATTTTAGTTTTCTTTTCTTAGGCAGAGGAACGGCAACAAGAGCTTAAGACTCAGATTGAGAAGCTGCAACTGGAGAATCAGCACATGCTGTGAGTCTCTGTTTAGACAAACACTTTCATATGATACCTGGAGAATGAATTAGGGTTCCTAAAATTATGGAAAACCTAGAATTGTCATTCAGGATTGGAAACGTGGTGGAAATGCCTATAGTCAGCTTGATCTTAGTCTCGAATTGTAAGCAAATCGTTCATTTGAGTGTCATTTTCAGTTTGATTCTCAAATGAGTCCGTCATTGGGTTCTCTAGTGAATGATTGAAAGTGTTTTTCCAGTTTAATGGATCAATCAAAAAGTGTGGGATCCCTGATGCATGACTGACATTTGAACAGCACACCTGTCTTAAAGTCTTTTCTTCTCTTCTCAGGTTTATAGTGTCAGAATTTGAGGCCACTATCACTCAAATCACAGGTATGACAGTTGTTTGATCAGATTCTGTACATTATTGTGAAGGCAGTATGTCAGATACAGACACATCCCTGTGTGTTTACAGATGAGCACAAACAGAAGGAAGATTTGGCTAAAATTGAGTTGGAGCGAGTCCTTCAGGAAAAGGATCAGCTGTCCAAAGATTTGAATGAGTTGGAGAGATCCTTTTCCTCTGTTGTCAAACGCCTTGACAGATGCAAGGAAGTCATTGAGGGATTCAAAAAGGTATGCTTTGAGACTTCTGCAACAAGACCTGTAGACACAATTTTAGTGTATAATAGTCATTTGTTCCCCCCTTCTCTCATATAGAACGAGGAAACCCTGAAGCAGTATGCGCAGAACTGCATGGACAGACTGCAGAAAGAGGAAAAGCGTTATCAAGCTTTGAAGGCCCATGCCGAGGAGAAACTAGATCAGTATGTGCTCAAACAGTCTGAAACATTCTCTTATGAATGTGGTAATACAGTCATGCATAATGAATATTGGTCGATAAATATGCCTGGAAGCATCACTAATGACACTGATGTTGTTTCAGTGCGAATAAGGCCATAGCTGAGGTTCGTACTAAACAGGGCGCAGAAGTGGCAGCACTGCAGGTGCAGCTCAAGAGAGAACAGCTGAAGGTTCAGTCCCTAGAAAAGGATCTGGAACAAAAGGTAAATGCGCGCACACAGGGGAAGTCAATCTTACAGTGGTTTCCTTTTGAGTGTAGTTCTGAATTGCTTTTAAATTATGTAACATCTATAATGTGACTTTCTATTTTCTCTTCTCAGGTTAAAGAAGTCAAAGATGTCACAGAATTGTGTGATGAGCTGCTGTTTAAAGTGCAAAAGCATAGTTTTTAGTGTATTTTGTGTTCTTTGTGTTCATTATTTGTGTTTGTTCGTTATTTGTATTTGTTCTAAGCAATTTTAATAAATAATAATTTTTAAAAAATGAAAACCTTTGTCTTGACGTGAGTACCAATCAGTAATGCCTCTAATACTTTACTGTCTAAAATATACTACCCTATAAAATTACTATTTTTAGTCATTGAAGTTCCTTTCAAGTTGCATTGGAAGCTTTTTTTGGTGGCACAGATATTAATACTTTTATATTATATTAATTATTAAATGCTGCTTTTTTTATTTTTACAGGATAATGGTATATATCATTGCAATATAAGATATATCTTTTAATGTGATAAAATACATATTTTTTTAAATAAGTGATGGGGCGTGGACAGATTTTCCTGCTTTTTTTTGTCTCTAGTTGATCACATGCCTAAGTTATCTAGAATATTTGAATGGATTAGTAGTAATTTTCCTATATTAAAAAAAAAAAGAGAATTTTTTCCAAGACTATTGATCCAGTCCAGGATTTTTATCTATGGAAATGACCACATTTTATTCAAGTCTTTCACACCATGATCTGTTTCACAACTGAAACAGATCATGACATTATGCCCTTGTGTATTTCTAAACATATTACTGATACACAAAAAATTTAATATTCAATAACAAATGCATACATAATTCTGTGCTGCACTGATACAATGTTAAGACACTAACTGATCATAGAGACTCATGCAGCAAAACACCAAGGGCAAATAAGCACAAAGAGTGCAGCAGTGATGTCACAGAGCATTTCATTATTCACACAATAAAAATGTCACATCAGCACATTCAAATTGCCATGGCCTGAGCTCATATTCAGTATGTTCATTCATGTAAAAACGACACCATCTGTAAATAATCTCCACAGTCAGACAAAACTTAAAATGAGGCCTTAAAACATTCAGTTTTTATTCTATTGTGATAAACATGTCATGGCATTCTACTGCGGTGACACAACACAATCAGCAGTAAAGTGTGATCTTCCAACAGGACCTTAAACAGTAGTCATCAGTCTGTGCCTACAACAGTCATTCTCATAATACAAACACAAGCATTCTATTGTAAACAACACTTCAAGCATGTTTCAAAAATATAATTAATTATTTTATGTTTATTAAATAGCCACAGAAATGTTCTGAATGCAAACAAGTTAAAGATCTGGATGATCTTAAGTTTTATACAGTCAATTAGTCAATAATACTGAACCTCAATTTAGTAATCCTAGATTTTCACCAAACCTTTTTTGGTATGTAACGGCATTGCGCTGGATCTCAGTATCTTAGGACAAGGGCACATGAAGCCAGCCATTATTCGAAATGAATTCAAAAATCCATGTAATCTGAGTTTGACTTGCTCTGTCGAGCCGTGCGTTTTAATATTTAGATCAAGGTAAAATATCACCTTTTAAAATAAGAAAATGATATAGTATACCATGTTTTCCCCTTTAAAACATTTAAAATATCCCTTCAGATAAATGTTAAGATTATTTTAACTACAAATGTCATCTAAATGGTGTAATGACTCCCTTTTGAGCAGGCTAACTCTTTTTTGTGTTTCTACACTGATTATGCCACAGTATATGCTACATTATAGTCTTATTAGAGCAATACAGCTTCATGAGAGATAGAGTAGTTTCTTTCACCACTAGTACCAGATATCCTTTAAGTCTTACTCTAGTTAAGCTGTTTGCAAGCTCATAAAGTAGATCACACCAGAAATAAAACTTAACACATGATGTACAACTACTATGTTTGATGACAGTTCTCCACTATATGTAAGTGAGCTCTCACAATATGTTTATGAAGATCTGAGAATATGGTGGTCTTTATTCGAAGCTTAGATCAGAGCAGAAGTGCTTTTTGATTTAGAGTCTACTTTTGAAAATTTGGACTATAAAAGAATATTCCATGTTCCATACCTGAAAAGTAAAGCTCAACTGGCAGCAACTGTGGCAAAAGTTGATTATCACAATTTTTTTAAATTAATGTTTTAATTTCATAATCCCCCCCCCCCCCATTTTTTACGATTTAAAAGGTCCACTCAAAAATGAAAATTCTGTCATAATTTATTTATTTTCTGTCACATAACAAAATAGTCTCTGTTCCTATTGACTTCCATTGTATTTTTTGTCCACAGAATGGAAGTCAATGGGAACTGAAATTACCAACATTCTTCAAAATGTCTTCTTTTGTGTTCCACAGATGAAATACAGGTTGAGGGTGAGTAAGTTTTTTTCCACACTAAAACCATTTTAACACACACATACCATTTAGGTCTTGTGTCTACACTATTAAAATAGTATTTTAGAGTTTACAGATTGGCTGCATTCATGTCCACTGTAAGTGCCTCACTGAAACCCAGATTTTTTTTTAAAGAAAAGAAGGGAGAAGTGAACATTTCTGTGGTAATCAACATTATGCCACAGATGCTGTCAGCATCTACCATTTCCGCAATCTCAATTGGCAAGTACATACTAGAGTTTAGTGTGTAATTATGCATGCTTTTTTAATGTAGTTTGCGGATTTAATGGGGCAGCCTAAGTGTGCTAATAATCATTTACAGATATTCAGCCAGTGAATGATTTTATCATGTCAAGGAACAGGAAGCCAGACTGGGACGGTTTTGTAGAGGGCTGTTAAATATGACATATTCAAGTAATTTTTCACAATTCTGTATCCTACCAGTCACTTGCAAGACCCCTCGGCTAAAGATGTCTCCCTCGAATGAGAGTTATGTTGATGGAGGCTAAAACATCTACTTGATCATGGGGTCATCACCTCCCGGAGAAGTTAGGACGGGGAAGTCCACAAAGGGTTCGGTTTTGTCCTCCTGGGGCGAGTTGACAGTACCGTCTGGCATGGAGCTAAAGGCCAGATGGTCATGTTCCATGATGGTCAGGCGGTCCTGGGGCTTCTCCTTCTTCAGATAAAACATCTTCCTCAGCTGCTTCAACTGCTGCAGCTCACAGAAGGTCTCCAACACCACCAGCATGGCAATCAGGCCGAGGAGGAGATACACTGTGGGACGCGAAGGAGAGAGAGAAATGGAGAAATGAAGGAATGTAAACTTCTCACTGTGTTTATTGTAACTTTTGAGTTTAACAGTATGTTTGAACTCAAGCATTTCTCTGTTTGCTTAACATGTCTGACTGTGTATGTGTCTTGCTTCACTGTCATGCAAGAGTTTCATCCAGTTACTAATGGACACTGCAACATCTGTTAACCAATGAAATTATGCTTTGTTTTAAAGGGGTGCTATCATGCTTTTTCACTTTTTCAACTTTAGTTAGTCTGTAATGTTGCTGTTTGAGCATAAAAAAGATCTGCAAAGTTACAAAGCTCAAAGTCCACTTCAAAAGGAGATATTTTATTTAACAGAAATCACTTTTCAAAAACTACAACGAACGACTCGTTTGGACTACAACGCATATTTTCCGTAATTTGTTATATCACAAATATTGACGAATGGGACGAGACCTGGTTGAGCTGCACTAGAGAAGGCAACGAGTGTTATCACTATGTCAGAGACACGCTAGCTTTCCCAAGGCAGATGAACTTAGAGTGGTTACAATCATCCGGGTTTAAATCGTGCTCAAATTGATTTTGACGCAATATTTACACTGAAGCTCGCAGGCAGCTATGGTAAGGGGCATGACATTTCCCGACCAGGCGCCGAGTGCTGCCAATCACAGCACACACTGGCCATATGGTATTTCAGAAGGCGGGCCTTCATTTGATACAGGAACTATTCGAGCCGTTCATGCCAGACTGGGGAGAGAGGTGTTGTAATCATGTAAAATATGTGAAAAATAATGTGTTTTTCGAACAACCTAGTATGAGAACCTGTTCTAGTACACCCCCAAAACAAAATCAAGACTTTGTAAAAGAGCATAATAGGACCCCTTTAAGGTCAACATTAATTTGAAAAAAATTACATTCCTGATGTTTCTCTCCAAAATCTAGTATGTACGGTCATCTTATTGTGTACAATTCATCAGTGTATATTAGTTTTGTTGTTGTTTTTTTCACATGCCTTTATAGTCTTTTATTAAGGCAACAAATTGCTCTGCTTCTGAAAATTGCCTTTGTTTTAATGTCAATATAAAATCGAAATAATAATTTCTTAATTTCATGATTCATAAATCTGAATGTAATAAAAAATACACTAATGAATTAAAAATGTCTTCATATTCTTTTATTAATGGGCAATGAAATTGCTAAAAGACCTTTTTATTTTATTTTATTTATTTATTCCACTTCTAACCACCTGGCTCCAGTATGGCATATGACACCCATTTTCACAATCCAATTCCTGATGGATAAAGTTACGTCTAGCTCAACATTTCTTCATGAAAATACACATGACAAAATACAGCACAAATTAGGTTAGGTTGCAACTGTTTTAACTTTACAGGAAAAGTGTATATATGAAAAATGACATGGTTAAAAAAAAAAGTAGTGAACTCTCTTGGCCACCTCAGGGATCATGAATAAGATTATTTTAGCCTGCATCTTATCTTTCATCTCAGCAACATCATGATAAAATTAATACAGAAAGAGTCCGAGCAAAATAAATATGAGACTTCAAGATAACTCAGCATGCGTGGGCCTCACGTATGCCACATCCTCCACATTTACACTGCAAATCTTTCTCACCGTCCCCCGCACATCTGCATCAACTAAGCCCACACAAGTACGAAAGCCATGTGGCATTTTCAAGTTTTTGAAAATGAGAGCTGTACTGCTTCATAAGACAAACACTAGATGGAACAGTAGAGCAGCAGTGAAAGAACAGTTTATACCCTTGAATCACATGCACTTCCTTTTTACCTTCCATTTGTTTCTATGACAACAGGCGAGACTTACACATGAAGATGTTTCGATACATAAAAGGAAGTCACCTGAGTATTTTATATACTGGGCAGGATTTCACGTACGAGGATAGGAAGTGAACTGACTAGGCATGCTTACTTAATAAAATACTTAGATACGAGAAATATTGGACAATGTTAACAACATTTTAGTAACCAAACACTATTAAAGGTATTATCTATCCAAAAATGAAAATTCTGTCATCATTTACTCACCCTCAAGTCATTCTTTCTTCTGTGAAACATGAATATTGGTAACCAACAATGCAAGTCAATAGAAACCGAAACGGTTTGGTTACCAACAGCCTTCAAAATAATTTCTTCATGTTCTAACAGAATTGACAGAATTATCATTTTTGGGTGGACTATCCCTTTAAATCACAAAACAAATATACCACAGAACATGTTTACTATTCAGCATTTCTGAGACTTTTGAGTGTTTTTTTAATACACACTTGTAAATGTTCAAGGCTTTCTGTCAAGGTCAATTCTGTTTTGCATTTTGGAAAAAAAATCTACACTTTAACTTCAAATGCCCTCTCAAGGACTATTAGGTGATACATTAAAATATAAAAATCCAGATAATGTAATGTACTTAGTGCTATTTTTGCAGCTATAATGAAATGCACCAGCTGTGCAAATCTGTGAATTTCTGTTTCTTCAAAAAAAACAAAAAAACAATTCTATTTGGTAAAATCACATTCTTCCCTATAAAACTCTATATGTAAGTCCCAGCATTTTAAATATATTCAATGCATACTGAAACCACACCTACCAGTGATGCCCAGTTTGTAAAGCTCACGAAACCTCTGGTTAAAGGCCTCTCCGGGCACATAGTCACCAAGACCGATAGTGGAGAGTGAGATAAAGCAGAAGTAGAAGGACTCCAGAAAGTTCCAGTTCTTTTCTAGGGCAGAGAAGATGGCGGCAGGGATGAGGAAGAAACAGGACACAGCCACGACAGCCAGCAGGGTTGCGTGAACGACAGCCACCAGGGGTTTAGACAGGCCCCAATGTGTATGAATGTGCATAATGGGCCGCCATGTGCTATAGACCATGATCCTTTGCACCACAGCTGTGAGGAAGAGGAGGGTGAAGGGGATGCCAATCACAGAGTAAATGATACAGAAGGCCTTCCCACCATCAGAGAGAGGAGCGGTGTGACCATATCCTGTGAAGCTCTCTTTCCTAAGGTCGGGATCAGAAGGAAGGCAATGCAAAGACTGTGTTTTTCCATAGCTTGGCACTGTACAGTGTCTTGTTGTCTTTGGAGCATCTTTATCGTTTGATTTCTGCGTAGAGCTGCATTTCTCTCTCTCGTTATTTACACTACATGTGCGAATCGGTGGCTGGGGCTAAACAGGCAGTGATGTAGAAGTAGGTGTTGATCTTCTTCTGCGGAGGCGGGGTTTAGCCACACTATTATGTCATAAAGTGACACATTCTACAACCTGTCGTTTTGGCAGATTGGCTTCAATATTAGCTGTTTTTAGACTAACGAAATAGTTTTGAGTTCTGAAACATTCAGGATGTTTTTATAGTACAATGACCTCTTCAAAATCAAAAGATCAAGGGAATTTGAATGACCCCTTTAATAAAACTGAAACTGAAAGTGATCTTTATGTCTGCACTTCCTCCTGTATGTAACATACAGGCTTATATCTGCATATAGTTCACAGACTGAATAAAACTGACTTGTTGATCTTCTATAAAGTTGTCTGTTTTATGTCTGTTTGAGAATTGGATACCCGTCTTAAGGTAACATTGCTGTGTTAATGCAGGTGTTAAATGACAGGCAAGACAGCTTCCCATGAACAAAGGAAATGAGAAAGACAAGAACAAAAGGAGAAGAACTTCTCTATTATTAGCAGTGGTGCATTCAACTTTTTTTTTTTAAAGGCAAATGAGATGGATTTTTTGTTGTTATTATTGATGCCTTACTGAAGCATTAAAAAATATGGGTCACTGCAAATATCCAGACCCATCAAATGATGTACTATCCACAGAGTCGCCACGTTAGTCTTTAAATGTCATGCTGTATCAGTTTATGACATATCCGCATTGTTCAGCGACTCACCTGTGGTTGATAAGACAGTGCTTGCAAAAAACAAAGACGAGGTGAAGTCCCAGTTCCAGCTGGCCGACGCGTTGTTGAGAATGGACACCCCATAGTTGCTGGCCTCCAGCGCTTTGGACAGAAACCGCTCCAGCCTTTCCTCGGACAGACATTTGTGTTCCTGAAGGAACTGCCGTTTGATTCCTCTGAGCTGCTGGCGCAGGAGGTCTTCATACGGCAGCTCCACCGAGGAGAAAACCACCGCTCCGAATATGAGATACAGAATATAGCCGAGCACGAGAAACAGAAAATACCATGCCGATTTGTTGCTCTGTATCAAGCGCACGCACGAATTACCGGTGAGGGACTGAAGCATCTTCAGCTTTAATATTAGATCCGATGATGATGATGATGTGTTTTAGATGCGTTTTAATGCTCTTGATTGTACGGGCTGCTCCGAGTGCAGCGCGGAGGAGATGGAGCTCTGGTCGGGGACGTGACGTCACTGGCTCTCGCCCACCAGGTAACATCAAGAAGAGAGGAAAGAGCATCGAATGACTGCCTGTGCCGAGAGCCTCGGACAGAAGAGGGGATATCATGTGTACTTTGTAATTGTGGTAGCCATGGGAATCGATTCTGGTTCCAATTCTGATTCTCAGTAAAAAAAAAATCCTTTGATTGTTTTAAGGGAGAATCATTGCCTTTAACCGTCTGTCGCTAGTGATTGAATCAGTTTATAATAAATGGAATACAATTTTTTGCCAAATGTGTGTTTAGCACAGATTATATGTCTTCTTTTTTTGGAGGCAGCATAAATTCTGTCTAATAACTGGTCCTAAGCTGTACCTATTACATAAAAATACGAATAAAGTGGAAGTGGTAACAATTTATTTATTCATTTTCGCTGCATGTTTTTGATTCACCAAAAAGAAGCGGTTCATGAGAGTCATTCTTTCGAGAACCGGACTCGCCTTTTTTCCGTGACGCTTTATGTTTTAGATTCACTAAAATGAACCGACTCACACGAATCGAGAATCGAATTACATCTGTGGCGCCGAATGTTTTTGATTCACCTAAATGAACCGACTCATACGAGTCGTTCTTTGGAGAATCGGACTACGCTGATGATATGTATGTTTTTGATTGACTAAAATTGTAGTCTCTGCTTTCTTTTCTTTTCATTAAATTTTTTCCTAAACATCAAAAACTGCATGCACATGTCTAATGTATGAAATAATAATAATGATAATAATTACTCCCATAGCACATGGGATCTCATTTCATGATTCAGACTTCAACCTTATGTGGCAATAAAGATATATAGCCTAGCTAAGCTTACTGATAGACACAAACTAAGTGCCACATATTTCAGAATTATAGCCCTGTCTTCTATACACAGTGACAGTTTCATTCTTTATGGCCTTGTGTTTCTTGAAGATGACGCAGACACAGGCGGACGACTGTTTCCAAGGTAACAGTCTTTGAGAAGTTGGTGAGGTGGTGGAATCTGGGTTCTGATAGGCCAGCTGGGAAAAAGGTTCATTCACCAGCGTTCCTGCTTGGAGAGTGGACAAAATAACATTCAAACATGTCCACTTTTGTCAAAGGAAAATGCCTTGAAAGTAATGACAAAAAGTGTCAAACACAGATCGAGTGCAATTGTACTGGCACATTGGCACAAAGTACAGCCACAAAATAACCTCAGGATAGAATGAGCTTCTCTTTTACTCATTCTTAACAAAAACTTTATTGTGAGTTCATAAATGTTGAAATCTCTGCCAAGGGTGTTATTTAAAAGCAATTTGTATAAAAGCGATAACCTGGTGTAGTGCAAAACCTGTGCAATGGGAAAAAGTGATTTGATCTGATGAGTCTTCCTGATATCAAGATGTCTAGCCTTATTAGAGAAACCAGTCTATACCAAAACTTTAAATTCTGACCGATATCAAGCAAGCCTTCTGTGACTTTTATATGACTTTTTTGATCCTCAGGCTGTACAGACGCTAAAAAAAGAGGCTGTTCTGTGACAGTGTGTTATTTCAGGTTTCTGTATACTGGGAATTTAAACCTCTGAGCAGTAAGATGTTAGGCAGAAGGTGGATTGCAAAATGTTTGTTTGATAGCCTTATTAGAGAAACCAGTCTATACCAAAACTTTAAATTCTGACCGATATCAAGCAAGCCTTCTGTGACTTTTATATGACTTTTTTGATCCTCAGGCTGTACAGACGCTAAAAAAAAAGGCTGTTCTGTGACAGTGTGTTATTTCAGGTTTCTGTATACTGGGCATTTAAACCTCTGAGCAGTAAGATGTTAGGCAGAAGGTGGATTGCAAAATGTTTGTTTGCTGCTCGTACAATGCGTAGATGATCTGTTTGCACAAAGCAGGGAAAATTGAATGTGAGGGTTGCAGGACCATAACCATCACTTTGACAGGGACAAATCTCCCTAGTAATCAGATTAGAAATCAGTCAGTGTGGAATTTGCAGTGAAATTAAACTTCTAGACTGCAGCAACGTTTCGTGCCAGTAAAGTAGCCACACATTGTCTACCTCAAGCAACGTTTTTGTAACCATGTAAGATATCAGCACAGCAAAATGGCGCTACTTAGTGGGAGAACTTGATAGAACACACAACAAAAAGACAAAAATGATTAATTTGTGAATAAGTGAAGAGGGCGACAAGTGATAACACAGTTCTCAAATTTTCTAAATGTGTTTGGCCATATATGACTTTATAAAAAGAAAAATATTATGTTGTATTTACACTACTTTTTTTATTTAAATACACAGCTGTCTCTGTTCCTAGACACACATTTAGCCTGTCATGACATCTAGAAATCAGCACTGCTGGAATTCACTGTGGTTCAACCATGTGAAATCATTTTTCCTAAAATGACCTGTAAACTGTAATCATCGTCTTAAGATGCTTAACATATTCTTGTCAGTCATTCTGCTTCATAGACTTAACAGTCTGCAATAATCTCCCAAAGAATAATTTTTACATACAGATCCATGTGAGCATGGAAACCCAAGAAGGAAACTAAGATTTTTCATGTGTGGTTAATGATGGGTATTTCTTTTAGTAACATTTTGAAAGTGCAAGCAGTGTCTGCCTACATGAATGATTTTATCAGTTGATGGACTTGAGATCTATTTTACTTGTTGTTAACATGGTTTCTGTTGCAAAAAATCATACTGTGAATCTTTCAAAACGGACACATTTTGATTGGAATCAGAAAAATACAGATATACATGTAAGAGTAATTAAAAGCATTTTATTTAAAATCACCTCCGGATTTTTAGGAATAATTTCAAAATTTCAATTCAAATCAAAGCAACATAGGCTATAATTGTCTTTGATGTGGTGTGATGATAATTAAGCAGGAATTGCTGCTAAACTGGACTGAACTTGTTTGAAAGCAAACATTTTTATTGTGAATGTGCATGCTTTGAAAAGTAAATGTAATTAACTAAGGTAACAATTATTGAAGAATTATCCACATAAGTTACAAAAGACAAAACATATTTTAATTTATGATCCAGGCAATGCAAATATTTCATCATTTATAAGCTCACATATGCCTTGTTTATTCTTGGCATTAAAAAACATCAGTGTGGCCTGTCTACTTGTGCCTTGGATGTGACACCCTCCTGATCAGTCTCTATCCGGGTTCAGTGAGTTTCTTGAGCATTGTGTTGCTTCAAACACATTAACCTCATGCTGCACCCTGTATATTGCTCTCTCAGCCTCGAGTCATGAACTGACCTCCAAATACACGCAGTACTCTTCAGGATTAGGCTGTGTTCTGAGGCATACCTTTAGTATGAACAGCTGCCCCTCCTACTTTCAGTCTATTGAGCTGTGTATCTTGACACCCTTGTGTCCTTTTCTACCTTTATTAATAGGTTTATATAGCTCTGTTTTCCTCTAACAACACCTTATCTTCTAAAAGATTCAATAAAACTTAAGGCGAATGACTATCAAAATTAAAAACATACAGTTTATAAGATATTTCTGATGTGACTGTACATACAGTTACAGTATCCAGAGAAGTGACAAATAATAGGCCTATGCTTAACAGATATATAGGTCATATGAAAATATATGCATCAAAGTTAAATGGTATTTCTATAACTATTTTGTGCATTTACACTAAGAAAAACAACTAGTAAGATTTACGTAATTTTTATTTTTTAAGTAAATTTAACAGTTGCAAAACTAAGAAAATGTTTTCTTCCTATTTATTGCAGTGCATTACTCAAAGTTGCAAGTAAATTCTAATTTTACATAAACACAATGTAAGTAAATCTAACTTGATTATTCAACATGAAATTAAGTTATGCATACATCTTTTTTTCTATATAGCATTAAAATGTATGAGTAAATGTAATTTGTTTAATGAAAATTTCATTAAAAGCTTTGAATAAAATAAATAAATAAAACTTTTTAAAAGAGTGGCTAAAGAAGTCCACCCTTGTTAATTCTTTTAAGAAAAAGAATGAATCCAAGAAAAATCATGTCAGATATTTTTCCACCTTTAATGTGATATTGAAACCAACATAATTCATATAATAAACAAAGAGAACCTTAGAAAATATTAAAAATATGAAATTAGTTAACGTAAAAATGCTTTTTATTATAAAATATTCGAATTTTAATAATTGTTATTACAACTGAAAACAGAACATAGTGGTTACTATTATTAGAATTTTCCCAACATGCGTACAGAAGAGCTACAGTTACCAAAGAAACATGCCCTTTATGAAATTGCATCATTATTTTAAGTGATGTGCAGAAAGCATTCGTGCGCCCCTATGTCCGAAAAACGCACGTCAAATCTGGCAGATGGATCTTTTGTAAGGTCTTTTTTTTCTGCAGTTCCTGGGTGCGTCTGAACGGGGCGGCCGTGATCCGGTCTGTCGCAGCGGGTCTGGTGTACTGCACGAGCTGCCGTAGAGTGTGTCACTCCCTCATCAGCGGCTCGCTGGAAATATGGCGTCAGTGCACACACGGGCGAGCCTCAACTCTGCAGACGGATAGAGATAGAAAGTGTGCACCGGGACTCGTATCACACACCAGTCTTTGCAAAGTCGACCCCTCTTTTCCTGGACATGTTCTGATTCATGCACGGGTGAACGGAGAGCCATCCCGTCGATTCGGCCCCGGTTATGGAGCCTCCGGATGAGACCAGGTAAAGGAAGCGCATCAGAACCAGTGCGTGTGTATTTGAGTCTGTGTGTCTGTATGCATATGTGTGTGTGATCACGCAACTACACAGCCGGGATTCAGGACACGCTGCCAAATAGTGCACCCATTGAGACTGTATTGGGCGCGACTAGCGCGCATGCGCGCTGCAGCTTCAACCCGCTAGTGTTGGGAAGTCCGAGTCGTTTCGGCGAATCGTTCGCTTCAACAGAATTCAGATTCAGCAGTCATTTATGGCATTGCATATTTCATGCTTTAGAAATCACCGTTTATAACGCTTATTTTTATCGTTTTTTTAAATAAGGGTTTATTTATTTATAATTTAATGTCTGTTCAGTTTGTTGCAGCCAAGATTTAGCTCATTAAAAACTAAAATTTAAACTGATAGACGTTCTTCACATTTTATAAAGTGCTATTTATTGAAACTTTTTATGTGCGCTGATCGAACTAGAAAAAAATAATTGTTAACATTTCTGCTATTAAACTTACTTTTATTTTTGCCATGTCCACCACATCCTTGGTTCATACAAATTGGTTAAATCAAAGACTATAGATAAAGGGACTTTGGTTGAATGCATCTAATTATGAATCATCTCACTTGTTATTTCTTGATTCCTTACGAATAAAAAAAAGCAACTATCTCCCAAAAATGTTGTCCTCATTTATTCACCCTTAAGTAGTTCGAAACTTGCATGAGTTTATTTCTTTAGTGGAACACAAAAATATTTTGAAACTGTTGGTAGCCAACATAGTAGGAAAAAAGTCAATGGGAACCAGAACTGTTTGGTTACCAACGTTTTTCAGAATATTTTCTTTTGTGTTCAGCAGAAGAAATTAATTCATACAGATCTGGAAGACCTTGAAGGAGAATAAATGATGACAGAATTTTCTTTTTTTTGGGTGGACTGTCCCTTTAATGAGTTGACTTGAACCGCTCTGGCCGATTCAGTCCAGTTCTCAACAGTTGTAAGCAGTTCAACCAGTTCTTTGAAAAGAACCGACTCACTAGAATGATTCATTCACGAATCAGGCATCGCTGCAACTCGCTTCCTGCCACAAAGTGATCCCGCTTTGCAGCTTCAACACTAAGCAGAATTTCACATTAAAGTTGCAAACTTTTTGTACAAGAACTAAAAACAGCTACCTCAAAGCAAGCGTATGCACGATTACATCCGTTTCTGTGGGGAAAACTCAGTGTTGATGGAAACAAGCCGAGCTGTGGGAAAGGTAAAGAGATTGTGCCTCTATGTGCAAGATCATTGTACTCGGCTAGCGCGCGAGTTATGTGTGGTGTCCCTCTCTCGTTCACTTGCTGCAGTGTGCCTTTTAAAGTTTCAGTTATGTGTACCATTTCAGTGTATTGTTGCATGGACAGATCACCGGTTATATCCGGTTTCGATCTCGGCGTTCGATTATAGATTTTGAGATTGTCGGTTCAATGTTCAAGTTTGTTTGCATCATTCCTCGAGTGCAACTTGAGTGGCAGAGAACCCTAAAAGACAACACACACTACGAGTAAAGATGGACATTGATCCGATAGCCAGTTGTGAAACAACAGTCGTGATTGAATATATAATATCCAGCCGGCCCATCAAGAGTCCTATGAGTCAGATTGACACACTCCCTCAGAGAGTTGAGGAAATGTTTGATCTGCTATTCCCAGAAATCACCCGCTGCGCTCTAACCGAGCAGGAATTCTTGGATTTGACGTGCAACATGTAGTTTCTGAGTGTTGTAATCGGGGAATTTAGTTATTTGTGTTGTTTTTTTTTATTTATTCACTGATGTTTGGAGTTCTTTTGAGACACTGTTTAGCTTGTTCTGGCATTTTATTTAGCCCCATATCTCTTGTTGGCCTGAGTCCACATGCCTTTTTTTTGCAGTGCATTATTTGCTGTCATAAATGGTGTGTCCTCCTGCATTTGAGTCTTTCTGTTTAAGATCAGGTTCAGAAAGTGTTGTTTGCTCACTGCCATGTGCACAAGGTTTTAGCTGATAAGCCCAGTGGAATGTTTTGTTTTCATAGTTTGGTCTCTTATGACCCCACGCAACGTCACCAAAAGAGTTTGCCCTGAATGCCTGGCGACAGCTTCTTAAGAATGCCTTGTTTTGTCTCTTTTCCTGCTATCCCCACCCTTCCTAGCAATTCTTTTTGATAAACCGCTTTCATTGGTAAGTGTTAAAGATAGAGATAACTTGTTTAGAAGGCGATATCAGAGATTTGTTGTGCACTTTAATTTCTTTTTATTGTGCAGTTCTTATGAACTGGGCCACTATGAGGTGAACTATAAAATCAGCTTGCATGGCATTTATTGGTTGATGATTGCTTAGTGTGTCAAGAATGCATTTCTTGGCCTTGTGTGGTGACTTAAGGTCAAGTCGAACACTTTGGAATATTTAGCACGTATTTTATTCAGTAATGTCATTGGTTATTCTGCATGCAGCTATCAAGCAAGCAATTCTTCTGTATAGTTGTTTAACTTGCAGAACTGATGTTTTGACGTTTTAGATCATTGTGTAGCATGCTGTAAATCCCCATCCCTGTTCATTTATGACCACAAGCATGCCTCAATTCCTGAATGTGTGGACTAAAAGAATTTTGACCTCGCGTCCTGGAAGCACCCATGGCTGGATCTCATTAATTTATTTCTTTGCACAGTCCGTGGTGCAGTGCTTCAGATTGTTTTCAGTCCCACGATTTATCTGACTTTATGAGAAACATCGTTTCTCCCTTACAGCCATAGTTACCATGTAGATTAATTGTTTAAAGCGTGTAAAACAAGTAAAACAAATGTTTTGGTCTGTTCAGTTGTTTGTCATGAGACAATGATTTTTATCAGGACAAACTTTGCAGGACATGGTTTGTAAGATGGACCCAGATGGAACTGAATCTTTTATGGATTATTGCAGTTTTGTCTCTTATGACCCCACGCAACGTCACCAAAAGAGTTTGCCCTGAATGCCTGGCGACAGCTTCTCAAGAATGCCTTGTTTTGTCTCTTTTCCTGCTATCCCCACCCTTCCTAGCAATTCTTTTTGATAAACCGCTTTCATTGGTAAGTGTTAAAGATAGAGATAACTTGTTTAGAATGCGATATCAGAGATTTGTTGTGCACTTTAATTTCTTTTTATTGTGCAGTTCTTATGAACTGGGCCACTATGAGGTGAACTATAAAATCAGCTTGCATGGCATTTATTGGTTGATGATTGCTTAGTGTGTCAAGAATGCATTTCTTGGGCTTGTGTGGTGACTTAAGGTCAAGTCGAACACTTTGGAATATTTAGCACGTATTTTATTCAGTAATGTCATTGGTTATTCTGCATGCAGCTATCAAGCAAGCAATTCTTCTGTATAGTTGTTTAACTTGCAGAACTGATGTTTTGACGTTTTAGATCATTGTGTAGCATGCTGTAAATCCCCATCCCTGTTCATTTATGACCACAAGCATGCCTCAATTCCTGGATGTGTGCACTAAAAGAATTTTGACCTCGCGTCCTGGAAGCACCCATGGCTGGATCTCATTAATTTATTTCTTTGCACAGTCCATGGTGCAGTGCTTCAGATTGTTTTCAGTCCCACGATTTATCTGACTTTATGAGAAACATCGTTTCTCCCTTACAGCCATAGTTACCAAGTAGATTAATTGTTTAAAGCGTGTAAAACAAGTAAAACAAATGTTTTGGTCTGTTCAGTTGTTTGTCATGAGACAATGATTTTTATCAGGACAAACTTTGCAGGACATGGTTTGTAAGATGGACCCAGATGGAACTGAATCTTTTATGGATTATTGTATATACAAAATATAAATGTTGAATTTTATGAAATGTCTGTGTTTATTATATTGTTTGTATTTATGGAATCCTGAATCTTATCTGCCAAGGGTATCCGCTTGTGAAACCGATATGGAATAAACATAAATGCAATCATGAAATATAATCAAGCCACGCTTTTCATACTTTTTCACTAAACATATGCATACTTTTCATTCATATCTGCAAAAATAACGTAAAGCAATATTAAATAAACAGCAGTATACCTTATTTACTCATATGAAAGCATGCAAAATCGCATGCTGTTATTTCATTAAATATTTTTGCATAAATGATGTAAACAAGTAGTTGCTTTGAATTGAATAATTTGAATGAACAGCTGATTCAGGTAAATGAATTGAATTAAAATTTAGAAAAGAGATGATATTGAATATATAGATGATGATATTTAAAAAATTAATTAGGCATTTGTGACATAAGGGGATTGCACAAAATTGACCTACTAGCCAAATAAAAAGTTTTTTTTTTTTCTCACTGTCAAAATAATATTGATAATGTTTTAATTATGGGATTTTCCAAACAGCCCTAGTAGTTCACACAGCTGTGCTCTGAAGCCACACATGATGCTTTTGTGGTTTATATGCATGTTTCTGATATTTCTATCCTCTATTTTAGATCATTGTGTAGCATGCTGTAAATCCCCATCCCTGTTCATTTATGACCACAAGCATGCCTCAATTCCTGGATGTGTGCACTAAAAGAATTTTGACCTCGCGTCCTGGAAGCACCCATGGCTGGATCTCATTAATTTATTTCTTTGCACAGTCCATGGTGCAGTGCTTCAGATTGTTTTCAGTCCCACGATTTATCTGACTTTATGAGAAACATCGTTTCTCCCTTACAGCCATAGTTACCAAGTAGATTAATTGTTTAAAGCGTGTAAAACAAGTAAAACAAATGTTTTGGTCTGTTCAGTTGTTTGTCATGAGACAATGATTTTTATCAGGACAAACTTTGCAGGACATGGTTTGTAAGATGGACCCAGATGGAACTGAATCTTTTATGGATTATTGTATATACAAAATATAAATGTTGAATTTTATGAAATGTCTGTGTTTATTATATTGTTTGTATTTATGGAATCCTGAATCTTATCTGCCAAGGGTATCCGCTTGTGAAACCGATATGGAATAAACATAAATGCAATCATGAAAT